GAGTTTCTCACTCTTTAATGTTTTCCAACATTTCAATAGTTTCCCTGCTTTTCATTACATATCCAGGTGTCTACCATTTGAGGAGCAGCTGTACAGTTGCAGGGCTTCCCCCCTTAACATCTGGCATCCCAAATATCTTGGGAATTTATCAGAAATGTTTCTTTGTAGGCTATTCTCCTTTGCAACTGCCATGCCCCAGCCATGTGTGAGTATGAATGTTTTATCAATTGATAAATGTTGACTTTACAATGTCACCCATTCCCCTGTCACATCAAAACTACAGATCACAACTAATCTTCTCACTCACTCCTGGTGGTATCTAGACCTTCACTTAGTTTTGATCTTAAATGTGACTCAAGTGGGCCCAAAGATCCTTGACCTAAGGTATGTTTTCTTTGGTCAAGTCAAAAGTTATGTCAGGTGATTCCATACTTGTCCAGTTACTCTGGATCTTCTGACCGTACTGTAGATATGTTTTCATTGGGACTATTTCTTACATAGAGTAGTTGTTTCAATGAAAACTGTTCATGAATATCTTCCAAATTCTTGGCAAACTAGGCTGAACTTAAATGAGGAATGTGATGCCTACACAACATGCATGGAAATACAGTTGATGGTGTCACATTCACACAATTGAATTAGCCTGCACTAGAGTCAGTGGCATCATTTTTAAATCGCTGCCTGGATGTATTTGGTGTCACATTTTAGCTCTGCTCTTACAATCTGCAGTCAGTCAGCAAGGATTCTTCCTCAAAATAATGAATTGGACATAAAGAGATGGTGCTTTATAATAAAAAGTATTAAGAATTGTTTGCAGGGTGCATAATACCTTGTTTACAACATCAACATGCATGTGTGTTTTCTTGAAGGTTCATGTGTCTGCATGTGTCTCCTTAGGCTTGAGTTAGGTAGGCCACATTTCACACCACAGACAGACACAGACACATACAGTAAGAGTGAATAGCCTGGCATTGCCATGTAGAAGTCAGTTTGCTTTTCTCCAACAAGAGTATAGAGAGAAGGGGGAGCGAGAGAGAGTCATGAGAGTAAGAGTCAGCGAGAGCAAGCACCCTGGCTGCCTGACCTGACTCGGTTATGTAAACAAAATAAGTGTAGTGAACGCAGCAGCAGGGAACAACAGGGAACATTGCTTAATGAGCAATGGCATGTACAGAGAGCGGCGGTGTGTGTGTGTGTATTCTAAATGACCTGCATGCATCCACATTAGTTTTTTTAATTGGACAGATTTATCAGAGAGCTTGCCAAATTAAAAAGGCAACCATGACACGTGCAACTCTTAGCCGTCCCGCCCTCCTCCCATCCTGCTGTCCTGTCCTGTCCTCATTGCTTCTCTTTCAACGTCTCTCTTCTGTTTGTCTTCCTCACTATCTGGTGTCTCTCTGATGGCCTCTTTAAGTATCTGACCTCAATAGAAATGGCAGAACGAGGCAGGAATAGTCTGCCATAAACAATTCACCTCGATGGATAAAAAGCATCCGTTATGTGCCGATAAAATGTAGGATTTGTTACAGCTGCAGCCATTATGGTTTCAATTGAGTGTTGTTTTGGACATCAGATAAACATTTTCTTTGGTTAGGGGTTGATAAATCGTCAAATCCGGATACACACTCATTCAATTAGTTGTTTATCTATTTTTCAATCTTAGTTTGATGAATTCTGAACTGTTTGCTTTGTGCTTGGGTTGTCATTTTTTCTAAAGCACTAAGCAAACTTGTATTTTAGGAATCTGGATAAAATCCAGTTGGGGGGGGGATAGCCAACGGAGAAACAACAGAAAGACTACAGGAAGATCTATGCTTGCAAAAACTAAAAGTATGTATTAAAGATTTTGATGCAGTAGTTCGATCGAAGCCTTTATTTGCGTAAGAAATATTTTTACTTTTGTCAAGCAAATAGCATCAAATGCCTTTTTGAAGCGCAAAGAATACACTTTTTTCCATTTAAAGATGATTGAAAAGGGCCCAGTCAAAAACTTTAACGAGGTCAAAAGACAAGTCATAGAGAGACTCTGAGTCGTGTAGCTTGTCAGCTAAGAAGAGAATTGGGAACAGCATCAGCCTCATAACTACTCTGTTACTGAGACTTTCTATTTGCCATTTGTTGTTCTGATTGTATTTTTCCGGCTTCATCCTTCTCATTCTGTTCTTCACTATTACCGCCATGTTCATAACTACACAGAATGCTGTCAATGCAAGTCACACACACACACACACACACACACACACACACACACACACACACACACACACACACACACACACACACACACACACACACACACACACACACACACACAACAATCACTCACTACTCACTGAGACATGTATTAACTAAAACAATTCAGTCATTCATTCAGTTAGGAGAAAATAAGTACTTAGAGCTACAACATTCTACATTAAGGACATTTCACTTTGGATTAAATTCAGCAGTATTTCTTTTTCTGTACCTCCGCTGTGTTGCCAAGGGACACGCTGTACCAACGTTCATACTGGGGGTTAATGCCCAGGGCTATAAAACCTGTCTGCAATCATAAGCAAACCGTTCAAAGTGGAATAGATGAACAAAATGAAGATACTGTAAAAACGTGCACTGCATTGTGGATGCGAAAGGTTACATCATGCCATCCTACTCTGATATCCATCTTTCCTCAACTGTCATTCTACGTATATTTCTCTTCATTGAATCTCTCTATTTCTGCTTTTAATATTTTTCATACATGTTCTCTGGAGTGTTAATTTCGTTGACTAAAACTATGACGAAATATGTTCGTCAACGACCTTTTTTTCCATGACGAAAACGAGACGATGACGAGACGGCACCGACAGCAGTAAACAATAACTGCAACGAAATCATCATGCAATATCGTTGACGAAAAGTGACGAGACGAAAATGTAGTTTTCTAAATAAAAACTATGCCAAAATCTCTCTTTACTTTCGTTGACGAAAAATGAGGAGACGAAATATTATCAAAGATAACGTTACATCTCTCATAGTCAGTTTTTCTCCCAGCAGTTCCATTTCAGGTGCTACGGCAGGGCAGCAGCTGTGTGTGTCTGTGCTGCGCGCGGCGGTACATTTGAATTACACCGGGCAGCGGCACACTGTGAACTGTCAGGAAGACTCGGGTCTAACTCGGGTCTAACTCATGGTCTCTAACTAACCTTATTTAACAGAAAATAAAAAGGCAACAACAGGGCTTGGGAGCAGTGGTCGCACTCGCGTTAACCAAATACCCACCCCCCGTCAGCGCGAGTGAGTGATAAATAGTGCACTCGACGGGTAATAATGGATTATGACGAAAATGTTACAATCCTGTCCGTCAAAATGACTGACAACGAACAAGTCTAAAGCCACCACTGCTTGGGAGAAAGAAACGATGTGATATTTGGGCCCATTTTCGCTACAATGAGGCGGAGAAAAAAAGCGAATGCATTGTTTTATCAGAAGGGAAGCAATGTGGCCAAAACACAGCTGGTAAAAACACCACAAACCTGAGCAGATACTCTCTGCAAAGCTTCTTAATCATTCAACCTGTGTTTTTCATCAAATAAGGACAAGATATAATCTTATTTATTTATATATGCTAAAATGACAAATTATTGGTTTTGGCTAGACTAGTTTGACTGAAATGTTCTATCTGATGACTAAAAAAAGACTCAACAGTTTTCATTGACAAAAAGTAGACTAAAATAATTAGTTTTCTTTGACTAAAATAAGACTAAAATGCTCAGACTTTTAGTCGACTAAAACTTGACTAAATAAAAACAGGATGAAGGTGACTAAATATGACTAAAACTAAAAAGGAAATTTAACACAGGACTAAGACTAAATTAAAAAATAGCTGACGAAATGAACACTAGTTCTCTGCTGTCTGTGTTTCATCCTCTCCCCTGCAGTGTTTCCATACTACCGAGGACGTGTATGGTCAGATGTGTTCCTGCCTTGAATACCAAAAAGCATAACGCTGCTCATGAGCTCTTTGTTCCACATGTATGTGAGTGACAAAGAAATCTGACAGATACTGGAGAATAAGTGGCAGAGGGCGACTTGAGAACACTGGGCTCTGAAATGGCTTGTCAGCAGCTCATAGGACTGAATCAATCACACATTTTGTACATTTGAACCCTGAATAAAACTCAAAGCAACATTTTAATTTGCATTGATCTGCAAAGGAATATGAAACTGATTTGAATCCTCCCTTTGAACTACACACATAGCTGTGAAACATTTACATGTTCAGGTGGTTGAAGCAGCATCAGCTGTATGGGACACACACATGTATGTGGTTTCCCTGCATAGACATCACAGTTTATACAATCCTGTAGTGAATTATCTCACTAAAAGATACAAAAGGTTGGTCAATCTGCGACCTCTACAAAGAAAAGTTAAATGTAGACTTGCACTTTTCTCTGGGGGAAACCATTTACTGTACAACAAACAACAAAACAAAACTTATAGAAGATACATGTTTGACAACTCTCTTTTATTTTACTTTAGAATAAGGTCAGCTTGTTTCCTGGGGTCATATTCAAATCACAATCTTATTTTAAGTAAGGATTGAGAATGAGTTCTCCAAGACAGATTGTGTCAAATATCTAAGATAATATTTATAACTCCCAGAGTTGGCTACATCAAGAATGAAAAATGGTTTCGGGATTTATCAATGTTTTAAGACTTATACTAGGATGCAATTTGGGATAATGTTATTGGTTGTTAAAAAAAACCGGAATCATCAGTAGATACATTTGAAATGTTGTCTTGCATATCCAACACACAGGAAAGTGATCAAATGGGACTGGTACCTGACCCATTTCATCTCAAGAATTTAGCTTGTTTAAACATGTTGTAAAGGAATCTCAAAGAGTTTTCAGTTTTTTTGGAAAGGTTATTAATACGCTTGAACAATTTAGTGTTGTTTCCCACAAATCCCTCAGACAAAGCTTGCTCAACCTTCGAGTTAAAGAAACAGTTTGACTCACCACCATGAACGTAGTTATGTATGGTGCAGTCAGAAGGGCCCACCAGATGGATCAGACTGGACTGGCTGAAACCAACTGTGTGTTGTCCTGCAATGAAAGGCACACAGTAAAGCAATATGAAGAAAACATGTTTGCATTAAAAAAGACACTGTATAGACATGCAGCCTGCAGAGAACATTAACGTACCTTTTGTCGGATCCTCTGCGTTTGAGTGAACATGACAAAATTACAGAATTAGATAACAATGTTACTTTCACAATGATTGGATTCATTTAGAGTTTGGGAATCTGGATTGCCTACCAACCCACACACTTTGAAACAAGAATATAGGTAAGGTTTTGTACCTAATCATACAATTCAAAAAGCCGTTCAGATTTGGTTTCCCTTTTTATGTCACATACAGGCTCATTGAAATATACCACACACCCTGTCTGAGGATCTCCACCAACAGCTTCAGAACTAACTGGGTTTTTTTCAGGATGATAGCTTAAAGAGCTCCTGTTATTACAACCACTATACCTTCTTTAACTCCTGCACACAAATCGTAAAACAATACGGATAATAATTAAGGCCTGAATAGATCTGAACACAGCCTCGAGGTTAAGTGATGGTGTTATAGAATTTCAACAACACTAGTGTCAATCGTAAGATGAAGCTAATATTTGGGATGTCTATCTGTCCACATGACAGCAAGAGCATTATGTACAGCTCAGATTTAAGTTGATGGTAACTGCATTTCAGGATTTGTTTAGAGGCCTTTAGTGTAGGAGGTTACCTGGGTTGGATGGAGGTGGCACCATATCTTCAATCCTCGCTTTCGTCTCCTGTCTCTCCATCTTCTGAGCCCCGTAGCGCTTCCTGCCCAGCTCCTCTTGTTCTACACTGGCGTACTACAGACAAAGTAAATACATGAATATGTGCACAGGTGGACACAACCACTCAAATACTTGTCTCTGAATTTAATTAATGTTTATTGATATTCAAGACAACTGAACTGGACTGTTAAAAACGGAGAGAAGAAGTCTCAAAGAGAGCAACCAAGGTTCTACGTACCTTGATGGGCGGCACATCCATGATCTTGTCGACATTCTTCAGAGAGCAGGGGACATACCAAAGCGCCGCCTTGTTAGCCAGCTTTTTGACGCCTGCAATCACAGGTTGAAATGTTTAAAAAAATTTCAGTAAGGAATGTTACTAATTCTTCCCACAAATAAAACAACACACCATTGTCAAGTGACAATAAACCAATAAGAAACCAGTTGGGCTGACATTTAAATCAAGTAATAATGGCACAAACTGCTTTGAAATGCTGTTGTCAAAACACTTTTATTAACAGCCCAATAAAAGCCTATCCAGTTTTTAACAAATCGGGTAGCGCCGCTGAAGATTAGTCTTTCTTCTGCGGACAAAGAAGCAGAAGACAAATGAAGACTTTGTTCAGAGAGAGTCAGTCATGTTTATTCAGAACACAAGCTAACATTCACTAGACGCGCTTCCTCGGTTAGCGCAAGGTTTAGAATAATCCCCCAATCCCGAACTTTCTGCGTTTTCATGTTGTCATTATAAAATGGATGAAATACAATGGCAACTCGCTCTCTAAAATCTTGCTGAAAATAATTTTCTTTGGCAGCTGACACAATGATGTGTCCCTATAATGTGTCAACTGCTAAAATATACAGACACACAATGTTCTGGTTAGTGAGTTGTTGTTTTCTGTGATGATTGAAATGGTTTGTATGAACAATGAACATTTTGGATTGAGTCATTTCTATAATATCTGACTTCTATCTGTAGGTCATCCACAAAAAAATTACAATTTTCTTTATTCAATGGGTCAAAGTTATTGACTTTTGGTAAAAATAAAGTTCTTAAGGGCAGTAAATAATGCTTTAATAATGTACTTTCCTTTTTTAAACTTGTTTTATTGTTTTATAAAATGTAGTATATCTTGGAAAAATGTCAACCGCTCATTCCTTATATTATCCTTTCTTGTGAAGCCCTGAATAAAAGCCTCTTCATCATCAATGGCTGAAAAATATGTATGCCTGAAGCTACTTTACATTTGTATGCGGACGATACCGTGATGTACTGTGCAGGTCCCTCCATTAAGGAGGCTGGTGTTAAATTACAGGCTGTTTTTAACATTATTCAGACTCAGCTCGCTGAGCTTAAGCTTCTTTTAAATGTTGATAAAACTAAGGTAATGCTCTTTTCTAAAGCTAAAAAGACTACAGACACTGCTTTGGATATTGTTACTATGCAAGGACAAGTACTTGAAGTGGTTACCTGTTATAAATACCTAGGTATCTGGCTTGATGATTGTCTTACTTTTAAACTTCATGTCAATAACCTGCTTAAAAAGCTGAGGGTTAGACTAGGTTTCTTTTTCAGAAACAAGTCCTGTTTCTCATTTGAAGCCAGGAAAAGGCTAGTCACTGTGACCTTTTTACCTGTGCTGGACTATGGTGATTTGTTGTATATGAATGCACCTGCCTATTGCCTGAACAAGTTAGATGCCGCCTATCACAGCGCACTGAGATTTGTCACAAATTGTAAAGCACTTACTCATCACTGTACCCTGTATTCCAAGGCAGGTCTGCCATCACTTACTGTACGGAGGCTCAGTCATTGGTACACGTTTATTTATAAAGCTTTGTTGGGTAAACTCCCGTATTATATCTGCTCTCTGATAACACAGAGAGTTGCAAGCAGCTATTGTCTGAGATGCATGATGTAGTATTGTTAGATGTGCCAAGAGCAAGGACTGTCTTAGGTAAGACAGCTTTTATGTGCGCAGCGCCACTTGCTTGGAACAATCTACAGCTACAATTTAAACTGAGCAATCTCATTCCTCTGCATGTTTTTAAAGCTAGGCTAAATGAAATGCTCGTTGATACTATGGGCACTTGTAAATGTCTATAACTATGTAAATGTATCCTGTAAATATAATGTATGATGTTCTTTATTGTTTTATGTTTCATGTGGAACCTATATGCTGCAGGTCTCCCTTGAAAAAGAGATCTATGATCTCAATGGGACCAATCTCGTTAAATAAAGGTTTGAAATGAAATGAAATTATGCCTCTTTCCGAGAATAGACATATGGTCTGATATTTCCATATGCCTCCATATAGTACATGAAAGGTTGTGTTGGTTGGAGGCATTAGCTCTGCCTTCACACAGGAAGTAAAGACCCAGAAGATCAGAGGACAAAACTTGTGGAAATCACATCTCATAGCAATCAGGCGGAGAGGTTGCCATAGCAATATCTGTTCTTTTCTGCTTACACTTTTTTCTCTTAACTCGCTAACAGGGAGAGAGAGTGGGGGGCTATTTTGAGGTTGTGTTGTTATGGCCCACAAGGGAGGCACAGATTAAAGAGTGCACTGTGGCCAGCAGGTTCAAATGAAATCACTGTCTTATATTGTTACAAGCTATTAATGTGCAACAACTGATGAGTTGTGTGGGTGGGTGTGTCTCGTTAAGGATAATGCTTACATGCAGATTAATTTATATTAATTAATATTTATAGGATCAGATTCATGATATGATCCTACAGAAGATTTTTGCATTGCCCATATTTTTACTATACTAACTTTAACTAAATAGATACAAACTTAAAGCTGTATACATTTGCACTGCATTTACATTGATATAAAAATAGCACATCTCATAAATAAATAGAATTTTGACACTACTGTGTGATCAGCAGTAAAACAGGCGGGACTTTAGAGGAGGACATGTGAAGTTAAAAGAAGAGAGTGGGAGCAGAGGCTTATGGCAGGCTACTCTTGGGTAATAACATTTGCATTTTACACCAGAGTTAAAACCGTGCAGACAACCAGGCCGCGTTTCCATGCCGACCGTGCTTCTCTCCTCCTCCCTCTCTCATTGGCTCCCGCCCTTGCCAGCAACCAGGAAGCTGCCCACAGCAGAAAGGCATATTTACATATCCTTGACTTTACCAAGACAGAGTGACTCCAGTCTATTATTAGCTCCTGCTGGACCTTCTAAGTGTTTAGCATGGAGGGAGGAAGAGGAGGAGGAGAGAGTTCATACACTGGAATGAACCGGACGACTAAGAAGCATTCCCAGTCCGACTGACGACCTTTTTGACCAGCATGTAACGAGGGACCCGGCTTAGAATTCTAAATCCCTCTGCATCAAATGAAGACAATGTCAATGTTTGACCATGTTATTGTTTTGAATGTACCCTTTTTTCCTTCACAGTACTTAAAGCACATCTTATTCCTCATCTTGTGTGCAGTATCCACATTGTGTTGAGAGAAAGGCTACTAGGACAGGTTAAGTCATCTCATTCATGTAGTTTCTGTTTTAAAATAGCTGTGGGAACATTGGATCAACACAGAGAAACGGGTATATTGTATGCGTTGGTTTCTATGTGATAAAAAATTAATTCTGTCAAAAAAGGAGAGGCTTCAACCAGCAGGAGGGACAGCTGGCTTAGTTAGTTAGCATTAATAAATTAGTGAATAGAAAGGTTTTGGATGCAATAAAAATGCTTTTTTGCGCAGTGACTTTGTACGTGGTTTTTCAAGTTCATTTGGTAGCAGCTTTACAAAGAATCTAAAAGGGAAGCTATGATGAAAGCTAAGACAAATGGCACACATTTAAAAAGAAATGTTTAAGTGCATGTTGCATTGGTACAGCAGTGCCTTGAGTGCATAAACGTATAGAAGACAATTTCCTGTGACCAGCGGGATATTATAGACGACAAGCCTATACAATCAACATCACTTTGTGGATTTTACAGGAGTATAATGTCAGACAGTACTTAAGCATACGTTGTAATAAAACACACAGTGCAAACCACAGCCAGTCCTTCAATATCCGTCTCATTACGGGACAAACATCCAGCAACTCAGGTTTTTATTAAAACACAAACATCACCAGTCAAGCAACCAGAGACACAGCACAGACATACTCTGCTTTTTTATGATGGATAGCAGAATTCCCAAACACTATGCACCGTCATATTTAATTAGAATCAGAGCATTGTTGGGTACTGATTTGAGTGTTCACATGGGCGCTTAAGTGGGAGAAACATATCCAGCACAACTTATGCATCATCCAATCCTCTTTCATCTAAGTGTAGGCATCAATCACTACTTCATACCATTCTGGAAATGTATTAAATGCACATTATCTGTCCTTTAAACAGCCCCCAATTCCAGTCTGAACTCTGCTAAGTTTATTAATATGTTCTTGTTGATCTATTCCTCTTTATAACTTCTCCTTCCCCACAGTCTCTTTCTGTCCACTTTTCCCTCCTCTATGTATTATACCTTAAGCCGTTTCACTTGCTTTATCGCCGTGTTACAATGTTACACCCCTCCCCTCTCCCCCTTGACTATTGCCTACTACCCTTCATTTTTCTTCTGAGAAGAAAAAAGCGTCCCTTGTTTTCTTTTCTCCTTCCTGAACACTATGTCCCGGGATCCGAGACAGTGCAGTGAGGACCGTTTAGTGCTTGATCTTCTTGATCAAAACCACAGATTTTCCATTGTGCTGAGCCAAGACTCCATTACTTTCAACTACACTACATACTCACTGTGGGATCTCACAGCCTGACATGAAGAGATTGAATCATGCCAGGAGTGGAGTTTTGGGAAGGAGAATTTATAGACTGAAAAGGAATATCCAATACTTGTTGTAAGCTTTACAGCATATTTGTGCGACATTTGAAGGATTACCGAGTGATTCTACATAAACACAATTTCCTGTTGTACTCAAATGACCTTTAATCTGTTGCAGTGTTGTCTGTCGTGTTACAGACATCAGTCATGCCCTCAGGAAATTGTTCTGTGCTCTAAAAGTCAAACCCGCCTCATTTGTAATTGTTAAAGGTCTTCCAGTATGTTATCTTAATTCATAGATTATAGTTATCATTTATTAAATGTTCCAATACATTTTTTATAGATCATCATCATAACATTACACATCCTATTTATCCTGCTGTGGGGGTTATTAATGGGGAAATTGAGTAATACATGACCATAATATTAAACCAGAACAATATTACTGTGTCTCTATGTACACGTAGCACTCTCTGGTATATGCAGTTGTGTGACCCACCAGGGTCATATTAGGAACTGTCATGCATATTTTAAGCCTCAACCCACAAT